ACTGCTGCCCAAAAGCTCCCAGCCAGGGAACTCCACCAGCCTATTTATCTGAGCCCCGGGAAAGCTCCGTGACGTAGCTGCCCATATATGGACAGACAAAGCCCAGCCGAAGGGGCGCGACGTCACAATGGAAGCTCCTCACAATGGAACATTAGAAAGCAGGAAGCGGGCCGCAGCCAACGTGAGGCGCCCGCACTGCTCGCCGCTCTTAAAAAGAGAGTGAGCGAGAGAGAGAGAGAGAGAGAGAAGAGAGAGATAAAAGAGAAGTGAAAAGGGAGAAGAGAGGAATGCAGTTGAAAGCAAAGTCCGCCGCGCGCCGCGCAGCGCCAAGTTGAAAAAGCAGTCACTGTACGTGAGTTTGAGGTCTGCACTAGGAAAGTGCGCTTGTAAGACTGGGGGTGGAGGAGTGGGGTCAACGGTAGGGTATTTGGAAGTGGCCTTGAACACCCCTGGCACAAACAAAAAGAAAGGAAAACGCCAGAGTGCCCTTTGCAGGGAGACCCAGTAGGCGTGTGCTCAGACCTGGCTCCCACCGTGCCCTCCAGGGCCAGAACCCTATTCCACACAGTGAGAAAAGGGCGATTCCCTCTAAGGAGGATTCCAGCGTGTTCGGGACTCTCTGGTCCAAGACCTGGACAACTTTGGGGCCGTTCTGATCTCTGATTCGCTGCTCACTCCCCTGCCTCTTACTGGGATCCTGACCTCGAACTCGCAACTGGCAGAGCGTGGAGGCTGCTAAGGTGCTGCAGGACCAGGCCTGGGGAGGATTGGGGGTGGGGGGACACGGGCAGTTTGGGTGGTGATGAGGAAATGGAGGGTAGGAGACAGGAAACAAGCACTAGAACCCCTATAAAGTCTCTATGGACTCCCAAAATGACCCCCCTCGGTCACCGGATGGCAGGGCCCAGCAGGCCCGGGCGTGCAGTCGCTGCCTGTTGCTGCCTGTGAAGGGACTGCTCCTGCGTTGCAGCTGGAGACCGTTGAACTCACAGTCTCAGCTACCCTGGTGGCCTCCCTCTGTCTCTTCCCGCCCCCTCGCCTTCCACAGGGCTCTCCCCATTACTGTGTGCCCGCGCCCTGCAGCCAAGGGACGCCTGTTTGCCGACCCGGCGCGCTGTCACGAGTGGCAGCAAATTCCCCGGGGGCGTTTGGGGCCTGCTCCAGGAGCGCGCGCGGCCGGGCCGCGGGAGAGGGGGAGGAGAGGAAGGGAGCTTGGGGGAACGACCCCGAATCACACTGGCTCGGCGTGGGAGGATCCCCTCATCGATGGCCGCGTGGGCGCGGTAAATCCCGCGTGCCCCGCTGGGGAGTCGGAGTTGAGGGAAAGTGCATTTTTTCAGGGGGAGTGGGAGTGTTGACAAGGAGGAAGAGAGGATCCCCAAGCCTCACGCCGTGGGAGGGCAGCGCGGGCTGGGGACATGTGGGAGGAACTCCCGGGCTGCACATCGTGGTGAGGGTGGATGACAACCTCGCTCCCCTCCCCTCCCCTTCACGCCGTGGAGAGCCCAGCCTCCTCCGGAACTTCTCCAGTTCTCAGGAAAGGAGGGATTCCCGCCACCCGCGAGCCCTCCGCCACCCCCGCCCCGATCCTGTCAGTCTCCCCACACCTTTGCCGGGGAGGCACAGCGCCCCCGGGCTCTCCTCCGCCCGCGCCACGCAGGGAGAGAGCGCGCTGCAGCGGTCCCCAGCTCCGGCCGGAATCAGGGCATGCAGCGCTACCCGCCCCCGGCTCCCTCCCCGGGGGGGCTAGTGGCCCGCCCGGGGGCGTGGGCGGCGGTGTGAGAGTGGCTGGGCGCGGGAGGGGCCCCGCCGGCTGCTGGGAGGGTCTCGGGGCGGCCGGCCAAGCCGGGAAGAGCCATACAAGGAGCGGATCCGGTGACGCGGCGGCCGCGCCCCTTCTCCTTCTAGATTTGGCTGCCGATTCCGGTCCCCTGATTTGCATATTTTGGCATCCAGCGGAAAAGAAAAGAACAAAACCCGCAGCCTTTAAAGGAACCGCACCAGTTTAGTGTCACCAGGGAGGTGGTCGGGGTTGGGGGCGTGCAAAATTAGCCAGCGGTTCTGGCCTCCTACCACGAAGCCTGCCCATCATAGGTGAGAGGCACGGAGCGACTGCGACTAGCGAGCTTCCACCGCGCCAGTCCCAGTCTCCGTTCCTCTGCAGCGCTTCCTGCCGCCGAGTCTCCCGAGCGGCCGGGGTCTCCGAAGGCTCCTGCTCAGGGTCGGGAGACCGAACGTCCCCGGCCTTAGCCAGCGACTGGCCCCCAAACTGGCAGCAGTTCCCTGTCTCCCCGCGGGAGGCGCAGTTCTGTCTGAGGTGCTAGCTGGAAGGAAGTGAAAGGCCTGTCTTCCCTGCTCAACTCTGGGGGCCCCTAGCTGAGGCACACATTCCCCACTTGTTGGGACCTCAGGAAGAGATACAGAGTGAGGAGCTTGAAACCCACTTCTGTGTGGCAAGGGCTGGCATTGGTGAAGTGTAGTGACTACAGTGCTGTTTCCCAAACACTTCTAGACTAAATGCACGTTTACATTTCACGGAGAAGAGTTAACTTGCAGTAGATCTGGCAACTGTTTTGTTTGCTTTCTAAAACACAGATTAACTTCAATACCAAAGAAAGCAGAAAAGAATACCCACTAGAACAAGTTAAAAATGGGTCAAGAAGGAAAACAAACGTTAAGCGGTTAACCTTTAAGCTAACTCTATCTACAGCAATCCATCTTTTCAATGCACTCTGAGGACTAAACGTCACATGTCTGGTCCATGGTCTGAGGAGCTCAGTGGAGACTTTGTCCATGCCGGGGCTCTGCAAATGGATTTTGGGTCATCCATAGTCTTCTGCAAACCAGGTGTGCAGCATTTAAACTCAAATACAATTCCCTTCTCTGGCCTTGGATTTTATTTTTTATAATCCTTGAATCACCTAGGCTGGTGTGCTTCTTCTGTATGCACTTAGCTTAGCCTCACTTACATGGCTGCTTGCTTGACAACAAGGCTTTCAGACTCCAGGCATAGCTGGGAACCGTCTGCCTTCTTCACCCACTTTGCTGTAACACCCATGTCTTCAGCGAGCACTTCTGGAGGGCAAGCATTGAGCAGAGGTCTGCTTACTGTCGTGGACTCTCACTAGAAGCCAACCTCTTAGCATAGAATGGGAGTCTTTTCAATTAAATAGCATCCATTGAAGGTTCTGTATGAACTTTGACAAATTTCTGAATTTCTTTCTTAGTGCCTTCTAAAAAAATTAGATTGGGCTTATACTGCAAGGTCAGCAGTTTGAAACCACCATCTGCTCTGAGGTAGAAAGAGGAACTCTTCTACTCCCATGAAGATGTATAATCTCGGAAACCCATAGGAGTGTCCTATAAGGTTACTGTGAGTCCGACTTGATTGTTGATGGCAGTGACCTTTTAGGAAAAATTGATTTTGATAATCCTTGTAGGGAACCCTGGTGGCATAATGGGTTATCAAGTGTTGGTCCGCTTAACAACACAGGGGCAGTTCTTCATGAGAAAGGTGAGTCTGCTCTGATATAAAAAGATAGGAAACAAAACTCACTGCCATCCAGCCAATGTTGATTCCGTGTGGCTTTCTGGGACTGTAATTTTTTATGTCAGTAGAAAGCCCAGTCTTTCTCCCATGCAGCTGCTGTAGTTTCAAACTGCCGATGGCAAACCAACATGTAACCACTACACCACCAGCCTGGAAACCCTGTGGAGCAGTTCTACTCTGTCCTATAGGGTTACTGTGATTAAGAATGGACTGGGCAATGGGTTTGGTTTGGGGGCTTAATCCTTACAATGTCAGTTCCCTAAAACACACTCAACAAATAGAAATTATTACGATGAAACGATCCTTTCTTCCTCACCATGTAATAATCCCACCCCACCCCCCTCAACTCTCTTCTTGTTTTTCCAAGGAATGAGTTTAGGTGACATAGCTAGAGCCAGGGAACAGGTGTGGTGCACTCCATTCCACACCAGAGCGAATACAGACAGAGGTAGCGATGTTTATTCCTTAGGAATAAAAGGAAACTCCTGTTTTCATGCCTGGCACCTGTTGGGCACTGTGCCAGCCCAGAGATTGTTAAGGAATAGCCCCATTCTCCAGAAGCCCAGATAAGGACTGAGCACGCAACAGGTAGTGGTGAAAGGAGACAGGGTACAGAGAAGGCCCTCAGGTGCTCTTTAACACTCCAGGGGCCCCCTTCAGATGGTTTTGAAGAGGGGCTATGACTCCCCGGGGAAGGACTCTGGTGATCCTTCCATTCCCCCTCTGCCACACTGGGGAAGCCCGTGTCACCAAGCTTAGGCCTCACTGCCTGATTTCTGTTCAGGGTGCAGCCTGCACAGGTGTTCACTGTCACCCTGAGTGATGGTGGCAGACGGCGGCCAGACTCTGTAGCAGGAGGAGACAACCCTGGGTGTGGAGTGTGGGTGAGGTGTGTGAAGTGACGGCCCTGTTCGCTAATAGCATTCTCCCAGCTGGTTGCCAAGCCTTGAACTTAGCATACCAGCAATGTTTACCTCCCTCTCT